AAAAAAAAAGGTTGAGGCCAAAATCCCCCCCCCCCCCCCCCCGTTTGCTGGTTTACAGGAATGCCGAACGCTTTGACTTGGGAGAATTTCCCAGGAATAATTGATCGGGTTGAAGACGCGTTTGGTGGAGCTTGATCCCGTGTGGTCGGAACTCGGAGACAAGTTTGCAACTGACGAGCCGCAATCAAGTAAGAGTCTTCTGAAGAATCGAATGTAATGACAATTATAATAAAGCACGATCCAATACATTTGGATATGCAGACAATTTGGGGAAGATGAATGGGAAAACGTGGAAGATCTTCATGTCTTTCCGAAATTTCCTGGCGGCGCCGATCCCTGTTCTGTTGCTTCCGAAGTACTTCTTCAGGTCTGAACTTCTTCCTGCGATGAAATGTCGCCAGTCTCCAAATTCTTCAGACGTATTGTCCCCTTCGAGAGAACCTCTGCCATCTGATTTGTTCCAATCGATCTAACCCCCAATTCTCCTCCCTTCCTTCCTGGCGTTTTTCAAAACTTTTCATCACCCGCAACATCTCTGAGTCATTTTGCAATTTCTGATATGCTTGAGACAATCGGAGACAATTCTATTTCTCTGATTTCGGCGACCGTTCCTTTCAGTCTTCCTTCTCCGCCATTCCACTCCTCAAATTGAAAGTCTCCAGGATCATTCATGGTCTCTTGCGGATTGTCCTCTTGAAATGGGCCCTTCGCCTTCGTGCCACGTCTCTCTAGATCGGTTCGGTGGTGTATTAAAAGTGTCTGCGATGATTTCTAGAGCTGGACGCAGAGTGTAGGCAATACCCGAAACAACTGTGGAATCTGATGGGCAACTGCGGTTGCCGAATATACAGTTCTTGCCTTAGGTTAAAAGAAGCCTTTGCCCATATCACTTTGAGGAGTGGACTTATTTTTTTTTTTACGAATAACAAGCTGTTACGGCTTCTTGATGTATTTCACAATTTGTTCGGAATTTCAGACGAGACTGAAAAAAACGGGCAGTAAGTTCCAGGAACAAAACTCTCCTACAGAGCCGATAAGCTTCTTGGCGAAGGAAGAAGCACAGGAGCAAACAGTCTTCCTTGAAGAGGTGGTATCGATGGAAGTCGTTTAATCGAGGGATTCCGAAGCAGAAGTTCGCTGCTCGGTGGTCGTCGATCTCCTCCATTTCTTTGTCGCATTCTTGTAGCTCGGAGCCAGATCGGACTTGACATTTTTTGAGAATTCGGGCTGAAACTGAGAGGCGGGATGAGATTGTATGTTTGATCCAAGGAAGGGAAGAAGCGACCGAGTTCGTGCACGGTTTGGTTGTTTGCTTGACCTGGGGGAAGGAAGAAGCGACCGACTTCGCGTACGATTAGGTCGTCTGCTTGACCAAGGGGAGGGAAGGAGAAGCGACCGAGATCGTGCGCGATTCAAGTCGCGGCTGAAGACGATCGGGGAATCCGTGAGAAAAACCTCCACCATGTCAGTCCTCGACTGGATTCCCGAGTCGATGCGTTTGAGGACGAAGGGAGGAAGTCCCTGCTCCGGAGATGGGGCGAACGAATTGAAGTGCCAGGACTTCCCTCGAACCGCGTCCACTGCGTCCCGGTGTATGTAGCAATTGATTTTCGTGTGCCAATTCGCGTGGTGCGTGGCTTCGTCTGGCAACACCACGTACCAGGTACGACGAAGAGTTATAGCCGTCTCGTCTTCCACGAAGAGGTAGGGGACGTTTGGGAACATGTAGAGGTGAGGATCCACTCCTGCACCCTTACACTGCAGGAGAGAATCAATCGATGATAGGTATTTAGATTGGAGCGAACATGATGCAAGAAAAATCAGTGATCGGCATGAAACAAACCGTGGAATGCAATGGAAAAAATAGTTACATTCGTTATTTCAATTATTCCTTTAATGCCCATATAAATGGCATTAGAGTGACATCTATCTCAGAAGTCCATGTAAGAAAAAGGGAAAGAGATATCACACACGCTACGTTTCACATATGAGAATAATACGAGCATCGAGCTCACCCGAGGTTCCCTGTATCGTTTGTCGAAGTTGAGAAACGGCATTTTGATGATTGCAACCATTCCGCCGAGAGCGACGACCAGAAACACGAAGGAAATCGGGGAACGTATGAGAAGAAAGCAGACGAAGACGCCGAGGAGCCCACCGATCCAGACGCAGAGCGCGACGAAAAAGCCGACTTTCTTCCAACAGTGGAATTTCTTCCAGGCGCGGTAGTCCGCATCGGACGAAACGACGCGGGAAGTCGAAGACTCCATGTGAGACACGCGCGACGCCCTGGAGGAGATGATGGTGCCATCAATCGATCAATAAAGAAAATCAATATTCGATGCCTTTCGGGACGCAGTCCTTGTAGTGCTTGTAATGTAATGCCTGTTTGGATATAACTTACGTAAAATCTTCACAAAATCGTTGACTCATCGATGGAGGTCATATAGAGAAACAACTATCTACGTTTCCATGCTATCTAACGCTTTCGTCACCTTAATGGCCCGACGGAGTGACAAACTTGGACCTGGATCGAGTCCGTTCAGCGGAAACAGCAACGGGTCATTAGAGCCTGGGCGGTTCTTTTCCAGCCCGAAAATGGGCAGAAACATGGAAACCGGTTATTTTTAGGGATTGCAAAAAAATTGCGCAATTGAAAGTCAATGTTAGAAGGGAAAACCCTCAAATGTGAAGTACAGCAGAAGTATCAAACTATAATGATATACGGCCTTTCCTCATTTTCCGGGGATCGATAGCACCCCCAGGCACTGGGACACCCCACTTCTCCCCATTAGCACGTTATTACCTGATCAATTGCAGTCAACTTGTATAGGTAAAGCAGAAGAGGAAAAGCGTGAGATGCTCGCGAAGAGGCTTCAACGATGGCGAATCGAAGCAAACGAGGAAACCCGGAACTTCGGATTCCATGTTTGCTGCAACGTTAAAATAGAATCCCAGCATCTTTTCGCCGCAATTTACCTCAGAACAAGGCAGTAGAGTTGTTAAACGTGATTGGGTGTGGAAGCAAATTAAAAGGCGAAATGAAGAGCAGTGATGACGGCTGTCATGACCATAGAATCTGTAATAATTGTAATCGGCATCGAAATTACCGGTATGAATCATAACGGTTAGAATACTCTGTTTTCCCCAAGGACTTCATTCCCTCGCCTTCCGTTATGCCGAAATCCCCGGGAAATTTATTAAATGAGACAACATATAGTACACCACCTTGCAAAATCACTTATCTACTGAAAGCAAAAAAAAAAAACGTAAAATTATGCAAGCCTCAGGTCGCTCAGAAGTGATGGCAGAGACTCCTTGCAGTCATCGGAGAACGGAATTCGACCGGCCAAACCCAGCCCAACAACGCACGCTTAATCGTCGGTCTCGGTTTCACTCCTCCACGCCTCGGCCCCCACGATGCAGGACCAGCGGCATTCGATGCAGGACCAGCGGCATTCGATGCAGGACCAGCGGCATTCGATGCAGGGTTCAGACACTCCGTCCCTTCGAAGAACGAAGCGCAATGGCCTTCATCCTCGGAAGGTGGCGATGATCACAAAACGCCCGAATCCTTCCGTTAGGCCACGAAGCATCTCAACACTTGCTCGGAATGGACTCTCGTCCGGGGCAAGGGGGTGTCGATTCGAGTGTCGTCAGATTCAGTTCTACACACCGACGTCACAGAGTAGTAAAAAAGGAGAAGGAGAAATGGAGAAAGCACCACAGTTCCACGGAAAGGGCAGAATGCGTCTGGGGCTGCCAGAGGTGCGGGCATCCACGCGGACAACGGCATGAATGCACTCTCTGCTGTCCAAAAATAGATCCCGCTATACACACGGGCAAAGATCTCATAGAGCTGACGCCTTAGCACGGGATCCAGCTTCGCTCTTTTACTTTTAAGGATCATACTAGCGAGTTTGTTGCCATTCTGGCAAACATCCGTCAAGAAGTTATGCTCGCGCCTTCGGCGCTCGGCGAACTAAGAAAATAATTCCTTCGCTCGAAAGATCAGTTTTCGACCGATTTGGTTAAATCCCTAAGTCAAAGGTCCTTTTCATTGCAATTTTTTTTTCCTGCAGATTTTTTTTCCCCCTGAAATGTGCAGTCATTGGCAAACATGGAAACGGAGATCCCAAGTGGATAATTATTCATGAAAATGCATTTTTTAAATTATTTTTTCGCTGTAGCAAAACAAATGGAAATATATCCACTTGAAACAAATTGCCCTTGAGATTGCCCTTGAGATTGCCCTTGAGAGGATGCGTCTCCAAAATGGAGAATCCCATGAAATCCCAAGAACTGCAGTAAAAAAAAAAGGTATTTCGAAGAAAACCTCCACAGGAAAAAAAAATCATTGGAGAATAAATCTAACAAATAAAAACGCTAGTACCATTGGTACCTGAAGATCTACTTCGTACAAAACCTGAGACTTCTTCATTTGACCGCTTCAATTGACAGATATATATATATTTAAAAAATGCATCTCTTTCAGGGATCGATTATACAGTTGATACATTTAAAAAAAAAACTATGAAGTTTGTATCTGAACAAATAATCGATTTCTAAATTTCATCTTTACCTATTGCTGGGGCAAAAAAAGGCAAGAAGTTCTTTTTTCCCCTGAAAAGATTCTGGAACATCCCCCAAGGGGGGGGGGGGGGGAAATTTCGATGCATTTTCATCGCGAAAAAATGTGTCCTGCACGTGATGCGTCTTTATCGCAGCGAATTTTGGATGCGATAAAAACGTATCGCATGGAGGACAACTTTTTTCCCGACGAAAATGCATTAATTTTGATTCTGGTTGTATAGGTCAGATATATTATGCGCTTCTGCCGCATCGAAATTTGCCTTGCATGTCCTATCGAGGGAATATAGTGGCTTCTCAGCTCAAAGCCCGAATACACGAGCCTCATTCTGGGGTGACGACGGGGCTTTTGGCGAAGGAGCTCTTTTTCTCCCATTGGAATCCATATATTCTTAAAGGACTCTTAAATATATATAGTTAACAGTCGGATCTCATATTGGCGAAACGCGATGCACCACCAGCGCACCAAACGGAATACAAACACCGTATGAAACTGGACTCAAATAATGAAGCGGTTACATGGGAATCCCTTCGAGACGCCCTCGCCACTCGCGCGGGTCGGAGGGAAGGCGAAGTGGCGAAGAGGCCATGCACTCGGGCGGTTGCGTGTGAATCCCTCGGCTGTCGATGCATTGCCCCGAGGGTTCATGGGGGGGACGGAGGGGGGGGCTTCCTCGGCACGATGAAGTGGAATATAGAGGTTAACACGTGTCTAGACGATGCGCAGCCACTCAAAGCACCCTTCCGACTCCGCTATAGACGCATTTTGGTTTTGCGAACGCCTTTCAGGCGACCCTGCACGGTCGAGAAGCGAGAGATATAAATCGAAAATCCAGTTGATGTCTTTTTCTCTCGAGAAAAATAAATCGAAACGCGAAAATTGAGAGAAGTATTTCATCTCGATTTACCGATTTCTCTGAGTGTAGACAGTCTGCATCTGAAAAGGAATTCGGTTCATACATGTAGTCGACGAAAATTAGTATGGTTTAATGTGTGCCTGTGACGGTAGATAAATGAAAAGGCAAAAACTGAGGTGGGCAGTTGCACTGAGCTGATACCAGTAAGACATGCAACTAAATTTTCCTGAGCTGGTACCAGTAAAACATGCAACTGCCTTCTTGGAAATTTTCTCGAGGGAGCCATCCTTATCCTTTTTTTTTATGAACAAGGAATGGAAATGCCAGTGCTACGTGCGTCTTAGATTCGGTGTCGTGAAATAAGGAGTTGGCACGGGTGCAGTTCGGGTGGAGTCGAACCGTGAAGTGCGGTTGGCAATCGTGTTTTGGATCCGAAGCAGGTCAGGCTTCAAAACCAGTTCGTCCAGAGTAATGAAGGAAGCTCAAAAAGTCATAGCGAACCTGGTACAAATAGAATAGTACGTACCTGCGAGAAATAAATGTGGAAAATGCCCCACACATGCCTCCAGACATGCATGAACACGTCGAATCTTGTCTCTAAAGACCCTCCTCAATACATCGATTGTAATTTTGCTGATGATGCTGATTTTGCCCTGATGACATCCTTCAAATCGGAGATATTGTAAGGGTTGTTTCTGAAGGTTACATGTTAAAACATCGAAACGACAAACCATTGACCCGAGAAAACATCGACAGAGGGATTCAGAGGTAGCATTTCAGATCACGAGGATACCCTAGAAGACAACAATAACGGCCACGCCATTGTTTTGTGCCCTCACAGAGCTATTCATCCCAGCAGCATACATTGAAATAAAAAACATAACATTTTTGGTTTGGCCGATCCACAAAAACACGTTGGCATTTTCCCACGGTCTGGTAAGCATCTGATCTATTCTGATTCTATCAAGTGAATTTAAAAAAAAAAGAGTTTTCTTTCTTTCATCTTGAAAATTTCCCGTGAAGTCGTTTTCTTCTCAAGTAGCTCACTCCTCTTTTCACGGTTGTGGTCTTTTTTAAAAATCACTTTCGGATCAGTTCGCCTTGCTCAAATATGCTCAGATAACTTCGTGGAGGTCTTCCGACCACCTTATGGTTTCAACCTGCCGATTATTGTGATTCCCATAAATGGAGGTTGACTTCAAAAAGACGAATGCGTCTGGTCCTCCGTGGGGAGGAGAAGCCTTAGTTCATCTAGTTAAGTTCTTCCCACTCACCCTACAGTATTGTAACATTATTGAATTTTACCTAATTTCATGAGCGTGGAAATTTCCATAGCTGAGGATAGCATTCTGTTTATATGGAACAACCTTGTCAGGGGAAGTAGAAGTATGACAATATACATAACAGTCAATTAATGCAATAAATTTTTTTTTTCTAATTTTTTGTCATTTCGAAGTTTTGTTTTGTTGCGTCGATGTTTTTCCATATCCACGTTTCGTCGCGTCGATGTTCTGTCATCATTTTTTTTGTCGTTTCGATGTTTTGACGGCGATGTTCTGACGTGAAGACGTCTCCTTTCAGTGCTTCACACAGAAAATAATCTGGGGTAGTAAGATTTGGGCACTAGGAAGGCCGAAGTTCCTTGTTTGTTATTCCGTCCCCGAAAACATCGTCCAGCAAATGGAAACATTTGCGGTGTGCGCAGTGGCACCATCTTGTTGGAAGTAGCCGCTGGTAATTTCGTTCTCGATTCATTACCGACGATTTACAATACAATGAGAGATTGCTACATACATGCACTGCTACATACAGCACCACAACCGATACACATCAGAATTAACCCTTTGCGCTCTCCTGTCGGATCAGGTCCGACGTTTGTTACAGCGTTAAGGTCGTTTCACACTTTGCGTGTAATGCGTCCTTTGCGTCAATGCTGAGACAGGTAGGCAGACGCACGCGTGCACACACATGTAGATACATCGAAAGTTTTCACAAAACGCAAGGCTTGCGTTTTCAATAGAGCTCAT